TTGCTCTGGTGGCCTTTGAACAAATTGGATGAGCTTTATGTTTGAGCCTCCAGGCATCACACCTGTTACGGTACCTTGAATTTTGTGCTTCACTTTCATCTGAAAGGGTCAGAGGTTTTGCGTCAAAGTTTAAAAATGCATAAAGTATTTATTTTTTTCTCATCTTTGCATTGAGCATGGTGTCAGGGGTAAGTAAAATTGTGTACTGGAGGAAATTTAGGTGATGGGTATTCACAGATGAAGAAACCTGACTGTTTTCAAGGGCAGAAAGCTACTTTGCTGATGAAGTGTCGGAGATAGTGGCATGTTCCTTTCTTTGTCTTGCTCATTAACCTCTTTCTAGGTCTAATGATTTTTCTTTGATCATTTGCCTTGTTCCTGAGATTGCCTTTGACCAGATCTATTCCTCATATTGACTATCTTTGAGATTTCTGTTTACGGTTTATTTACTTTGCCCCCTGTTGTGTATCTGTGCCTTCTAGTTTACTGCATTGCTGACATTTGTTTCACTATTTGTAATTACACTCTGGCTGCTCATTTTCCTTGGCTTGGTCTGTGGGCTTGGCGGGTCCTAGTCCTTACAGTGCACCTTCTGTTTGCTGCTGCTCTTGAGGGAACCTTCAACTATCCTAAGCCCTAGATGGACACTGGTGCGCGTGAGTGCATGTGTGCACCACGCACGCACGCACGTACACACCCTTCCAGCTACAAATTATGCTAAAGATACTTTTTCTCATATGAGGTTCCTTCTTGGTAATTGAGACAAGAATAACAAAATGAGCTTGCAGTATCTGCTTTCCAAATCATTAGAACTGAGTCCATGATTTAACACCTAAAGAGAAGTGTCGTATATACTGAGACTAGAGGTTAACAAGCAGCATTCCAAAAGTATAAAGATGAGTTTGGAGGAAGGAGAATATTTTAGTGCTGATCATCTTGGTTGCATATGGTACATATGAGAAGGCAGGTGTTTTCCTACTTGGGACAACAACTCTGTCTCTTTATAAGAAACTGTTCTTGTCAAGTCACCAATTGGCCTAATGCAGTGGTAATTTATTAGTCATCTTAGCTGACCTATTAGAGCCTCTGTCTCAGTTGGTCATTCTCTCTGTTGAGACCGTTTCCTCCCATAAGTCCTGGGCACCCAAGTTTCCTTTTTCTTCTACCTCACTGATGCCTTTTAACTTTATTTCCCCAGACTTTAAAACAAAACCTGCAACTGAAATGTCCCATCAGCTCCTGTACCTCTTTTCTCTCTGCTACTATTGGGTGGTTCCATGTAAGACCGTGAGTTTTATGTGCAGTTGTTGTGGTCATGTTTTTCTTGAACCCGGGTCCCCTATAGCCAGTTTCCTTCTCCACTTTTTTCAATGCTGCTCACTAAAGATATTTCTAACTTAACATCTCTAAAACACAGCTCCCCTGATCTGTCTTCCCAAGCTTCTTTCTCCCATCTTAATGAATGCTTTATTTTCCACTCTGATCAAAGATAATCCCATCCTTCCAATCGCCCAGGCCAAAAACCTTGGAGTCAGTCTTAACTCTTCATCTCTGAGAGTGATTTCTGTCTTTTTCCATAGCTGTATCCCTAGCACTTAGAAGTGCTTAGTGTGCACCAATAAAATAGGCTTGGAGGGAATGAAATGGTTGAGCAGGTACACAGGGAATTCTGTATTTTGATGTTCAAACATAGACGCTTTAAATTAGGATGTTTCCAGGAGGGCAGAAGCTCTTAGTTTTCTTACCCTCATCTATTCCACAGGGAAGTACATTTTGTGATGCTGTTGAAACAATATTTTAAATGCAAATTAATAAAGATTATAAAGGCTACATTTTTGAAACCTCAAGCAGCATGGGAATTGTTTGTGATGAATATCACAGTACCATTATTTCCTTGAACTTCTGTTAATATCTCTAGCTGACACAGTCTAGGTTCCCACTAACTAGGTTTTTTTTTTTTTTTTAAATGAATGAATGAGTCCTAATGTACATCTATTTTTTATTTTTTAATTTTTTTTTAGAAGAAATTGTGGTGGGGTCAGAGGGAGAGGGAAGAGAGAATCTTAAGCAGGCTCCATGCTCAGCAAGGAGCTGGATGTGGGGTTCTATCTCATGATCATGAGATCGTGACCTGAGCCAAAATCAAGAGTCAGACGTTTAACCAACTGAACCACACAGGTACCCCTCCTAATATACATTTCAATCTCAGAATTTTAAAAGCAGGATTTATCCTATTCTCTAAAACCCCTTTCTCTCCTTACATTTTATAGCTCTGTTAGTGGTATTACCTCCTATTTAGTTGAAGAACAGAGGTGAGGAGGCTCTTCTGAATGCTTCTGAGTCAACCCCATGTCCACCCAGCCATCAAATTCTATCAGTTTCTCTTACATTTTTAATGTTCAAGCTCTTGTCATTGTTCACTCAAGTTGCTTCTACAACAGCTTCTCCCTCCACTGTTCCCTCTCCTTTACATAGAATCCCTTGTGGTTTCCCCTGTTTCCAGCTGAGCCTGAATTTTCTGACTTGGCACATGCAGCTGTGCCTCACCTGGCCTGTCTTCTTGTCCTGCCTCACTTCTTGTGACTCCTTGCACTGCTCTCTCCCTTCTCATTCTCACAAACTGCTCAGGAAATCAGAATTCCTTGTAATTCAATGGAAGGTCCCATGTCCTCTAACAGGTTCATTTAGCTGTTTTGAACATCTTACCTCAGTCCTTCATCAGGCTGCCTTCCTCTTTATCCCTAAGGACCTATGCTTTTACCCAGCTGTCCTTGTCTTTAGTTTCTCCACATTCCTGCTATATATGGAACATATCTCTTCTACGTGGTATATTTCCACCATTGCATCTATCTTCATGAGGGTAGGCAGATATATCCCATTTACCTTCATAGTTCCTACTGTGTGTAGTAACTGATTTCAATGTCATAGATGCTATATTGGCACCTGCTTCTGCTAGTATGCTGTTTGTATGAAATTCTAAGATCAAATGAGTCTATATATCTCAGTGTACATGCTAAAAACCTAGAAGGAACTCTTTGATCTTTATCTTGATGATAGAATTATTTTTCTGTAAGGAAACACTACATTTTGCTGTTTGCTTGCATATGTTCATAGACATATATTTACATGGCATTGATTAAAGAGTGGTTATAGGTAATAATAATGGTAGATTACCATTAGAATTGGAAGGGATTTTAGATAATTAACTTCATTATTTCAGCTTAAATCAATTTTCTGTTTTTCCTTTTATAGGAAATTGCCATTTAGGGTGTTTCCTAGAAATAATTTGGTTTATCCTTTTCCCTTCTTTCTCTTCAATTTCAGGCTGCTATTGTTCTGCATGTATTTACTTTACATTTAAGTCCTATTTCCTGCTAATTTCTTATGCTGTTTATTTTTGCTGCTTTGAGTTGTCTATAATTCATGTCTTTTCCAGAAACCTAGCGACTAATACTAATTTAATTGCTCTGATGTAGAGAAACATTATTTAAATATCCTTTGAGATCTTTTAAAACTATATACTACTGCTGAAAAACTATTTTTGTGGTTACCAGGTAATGATTGGCATGGAGGTAGAAAGAAAGCATCTTAAACTTTGTGATGTGAGCCAGTTATAGCTGAATGAATGTGTAGTGGAAAGGTCACCTTCGTTTTAAGTTTATTCTTTTTTTATTTTAAATGTTTCCCTTTCCCCTATTTATCTTCTGGCACATTTCCTTCCTCCAGTTTAAATAGTCTTAAGTTTTGACAGTAGAGGCGTGCTGGTCAGATTTTAGTATTTAGACATCAAATACAATAATTACGATATATTTCAACCAGCAGGACCTAAGACCCCTGTCGGTGTCTTAATCCAAAAAAAGCATTTTAAATTGATATAAACCTTGCCTTAAGGGATGGAGAAAGGACAATTTAGGGAACAGCATGAGGTTAAACATATTGATCAGTAAGCCAGTCATTCTTGTTAGACTCGGGTAGAATGTAGACTTAGAAAAATAACATCATCAACATTAACAAAGAATACTTTGCTTTTCTTAGAGATGATCACTTTTGCCTCCTATCTCTTTTCCTTTGATTATATGGATTTCAGACAATGAAAGATAAATTTCAGCCGGGCATTAAAAAAAAAAAAAAAAAAAAAAAAAAAAAT